GTCGAAGGTGGTGTAAAGAAACCGGTTTAAAGGACCCTTTAAGTCGAAAGAAAGGGCTTCGTCGTGTGGACGTGTCCAGGCTTAATTCGATTTAAAGCTGCTAAAGTCGACCTAAACCCGTAGTGTAGACCAGGCCTCGGTTGTTAAGGACAAACACCAAAGTATTAATGACTGCTCAGAATGAAGTGTTATATCTGTGGCACTTACAGTATACTCTGCAGCCTTCTTGGTGCCCTGCGGACGGTGCTGAACCATACCATAACTGAAATAAAAGTTCTGTTCAGTTTGCATCACTACACTTTTTCAAGTCTTCAGCCCTCTCTTAAAACACATGACAGGAGCAGGAAGCTGAACATCTCTGAGCTGTAGATGTATCTATCCCAGAAAGGGAGTGTTGTCTAATAGGGAGATGGCACTCTATCTGCTTTATTCCTCACCTTAGGCAAATAGCAGGGGGCAGGCAGGGCAGATCAGATCAGCTAGTTAGCGGTGAAGACATTGCTGGCAGGGTGGCTGGCAGGAAAGGAGGAAAGAAAAGTGAGATATAAGAAACGGGTCATTCCAGTGGCTTGTTTTCCACACGACAGGCTCAATAACTGGGTGTTAGAATAAGCCATGATCCTGGCTATTACTATATCTCTTATCCTGTAAGACAGCATTTTGTGACTGTTCAAAGGAGTTTGTGGTTTAAAATCCCGCCTTGCTAGGGAAGCAGGTGTAGGTGGGTGACTGCAATTTAATGGCTTTTATATTTATTTTTTTTAGGAAGGGGAAGCTGCCTCTGATTTAGGCAAAGAGAAAAAGAAAATGAAGAAAAAGCCACCAGGCAGCCCCGGCGGAGTGTTTGTGAGACGATACTGAGGCGCGAATGGAGTGTTGCTGTTTCGCATCCATCTTGTCAGACTGACAGAGTTAGAGAAGAGCGTTCACACAGGAAATGCAATGCTCTCTAATAGTGACAGGACAGGACCATATCAGACAATACTGCCATGAGCTAAACTCATGCCAAACAAGGGTTACCTTTTATTCCTGTCTGAAAGTTCTCTATATAAGTCACATTCTGATATTTCACTAGAGGGAGTGGAAATGTTATGTAACGGCACTGGTAGAAGGCAAGCCTCAAGATACTACAGAAGTGTGCATATACATTTGCAGCTTAATGCTGTACACCACGTATGGTTTCTGATCCTTGTAGTTTTAACTAGCTATGTACCTGTTTCTTCGCTTAAAGATAAATCTTAGTGTGGAGACACACTCCGTTTTCTGAAATGGTGAAATTTTTTTTCCTTTCTGTACTGGCACATGGTAGTGACTGGTTAGCAAATCATATAGGGTAAAGTTTTCAAAAGCATTTAAGTTCAGTTTTCAGAAGTGAGCTAGGCTCCTAAGTTCCCTTGACTTTCAATGAAAATTGGGAGCCTAAGTGCCTAAATTGCTTTTGAAAATTTTACCCATAATGAATAAATGGTTTTCATCATATACTCAGAAGATAGAAACTTAAGTACTTTTACAGAGAGTTGCTCTAACTCAGGGGTCTCAAACTCAAACGACCATGAGGGCCACATGAGGACTAGTGCATTGGCCCAAGGGCCGCATCACTGACACCCCCCTGGCTGCCCCCAGTCCTGCCCCCACTCCACCCCTTCCATGAGGCCCTGCCCCTGCCCTCTCTCTTCTCCACCTCCACCCCTGAGCATGCAGCTCCCTGCTCTTCCCCCCTCCCTCCTGGAAAGTGCTAAGCGCCACCAACAGTAATGCACCTCACTCAAAGGAAAAAACACGCACTTAGTTAGATTTATTTCTGGTAAAGACCCCCCACTGCACTGGACTGCACCACCACTCCACCCCTGCTCTGCTTCTTCCAAGGGTGGCAGGTTTGTAGAAATTTTGGTGGTGGCCAGAATCTGCCCCCGCCCCAAACTCCACCCCCACCTGCCTAAGGCTCTGGGAGGGAGTTTGGGTGCAGGCTCCGGGCTGGGGGTGGGGGGTGAAGGCTGTGGATGAGGGGTTTGGGGCATCGGAGAGGCTCAGGATTAGGACAGAAGGGCAGGGGAAGGGCAGCCTGCCCTGGCCATAGTGGAGGAGGGCACTAGGACCCTGCAGCAGCAGGTGATGCGCAGAGTGGAGTCAGCATGAGCTGCAGGCACCGGGTAGTGAGGGGGCAGCAAGTGAGCCTGGGGGACACTCAGCAGAGACGTGTGGGGGCGGCAGGCGGGGCCGGGGGAGAGACCTGGCCCCAAACATTGGGGAGCAGCGAGCAGGGAGCTTAGCTGCCACATAAAATAACCCGTGGGGGGGGGGGGACGGGGGAACACGACG